AAAAAAAAAAAAGTTTGAAGGGGCCTGTGAGTCCCTGTCTCTGCTTCAAGGCTTCACTTGAGCTTGGGCTAGTGAAAATTTCTCTTGGTTGCTGTAAGGTAAATTTAAAAACCATTTGTCTGTTTTCAGAGTTCTTTTTATGTCATACATACCAGAGTAGAACTATGCTCCACAGGATTTTCAATGGATTTTTTTAAAAGTAAATGTTAGGCCTTTCTTCTTAGGTGCCTCTGTGTTGAATCAAACCTCCAACCTCTCAGTTAGCATTCTAGAGTTCAACTTTTGCAGTACTTAGGGACTTGATTAAGGAGTCCTGGTGTGGCACTGGACTGTAAAGTTGGTTTGAACTGCAAGGTCATCGTTCAAGCTCATCAGCTGTTCCTCAGAAACCCTATACAAGGGTCGCTATGGTTGGAATCTTGATGACACTTAGCAACAACAACAGGGACTTGATAACTAATCCTGGTTTTCACTGTTTTCATTTTTTAAAATGATTAATTTTTTTGTTATTGAAAATATACACAGCACAACACACACCAATTTAGCATTTTCTACACAGACATCCTTCAAGGTGTGCAACCATTCTCACGCTCTTTTTCTGAATTGTTCTGACACCATTAGTGGTGGTGTGCCATGGAGTCAGTTTCGAGTCATAGACACCCTGCATAGAGTTTCTGAGGCTGTAAATCTTTACAGGAGCAGAAAGCCTCATCTTTCTCCTGTGGAACAGCTGGTACTTTCCAACTGCTGACCTTGAGGTTTGCAGCCCAACTCATAACCACTACACTAAACTCACTGTCCCTATAGCTTCCTATGCAACATTTCCATTTACTGTTGTCAATTTGATTTCATATCATTTTTTAATAGAGCACAAAGCTCAGGGCAAACATTCTTTGTTAATGAAGTTAAATCGTTGTTAGGTTTAAAGGCTTAAGCAGATATTTTTGGTTTAAGGTTTGAAGACTATCTCAGTAGAGTAATTTCAGGGATTCATTGATCCTTCATGGATCCAGAATATCTGATTTCCAAGAGCATGTGAATGGTTCCCATTGTTTCTGGAGGTTTATATGAATGACTTAGGTATCCTGATGGCACAGTGGGTTAAACATTAGACGGTTAACGGCAAGGTCAGAAGTTCAAATAAACCAGCCACTCCAAGGAAGAATCATGAGGCTGCCGGCTCCCATAAAGATCTGTAGTCTTAAAAACCCTATGGAGTAGTCCTACTCTAGCCTATGTTGTTGTTAAGTGCTATTTAGTTGGTTCTGACTCATAGTGACCCTGTATAGGGTTTCCGAGGACAGGCTGGTGGGTTTGAACTGCCAAATTTGTGGTTAACAGTCCAGTGCTTACACTAGGACTCTATACCTGTAAACCACTTTAAATAAATATGTTGCTGTTATTACATGCCATCAAGTCGGTCAGACTCCTAATGACCCTGTATAGGGTTCCCACTGAACCACTGACCTTGTGGTTTGCAGTCCAGTGCTTATCCTACAGTACCACACCAAAGAGTCCTTGTAGGGTCATTATAAGACAGAACTGACTTAATGGCAGTGGGGAATACTAATGGCTTATATTTCTCAAGCATTTCAATAGGAGGACATGAATGTTGAATCAGAAGTTGTTTGTTTTTATTTCAAGTAATATCAAATTAGTGAGTTTCTTTCTTTTCCTTTTTCCATTAGCTTTCATATGCCAATGTTCACAATGACTCTTTAGATACATGTTTCTTTGTTGATGCACAGTTAGACTTGAAAAGTTCAGGTGACTTTCCAACTCACAGAGAGACTAATAATGCCTTTCACCTCTATGATCTCGGATGCTCTGAAATGTCTGTAGGTTTGACAAAAGATAGTAGTTGCCCAACTTTGCTCATACCATTGCAACCCCTCAAAGACCACTCAGGGCACAACTAAAGAAGCGTGGCTCTGAACTTTGCAGTTAGAGAAGCTCAGCTTTTCTTTTAAACTTTTGAATTTGAAATATTTAGATTTACAGAAGAGGTGCAAAGACAGTGTTCCCATTTACACTTCACCTTGCTTGCTTCAATGTTAACATCTTGCATAACCACGGTGTCTTGGATACATGGATACAATACTATTAACTAAATAACCAGTGAGATGTAGATTTCACTGGTTTCCCACAAATGTCCTGTATTGGTTGTCCTTTCTCTTTTTTTCTGAGAAGCTCACTTTTTATCTGTTTTATAAATTGTGCTTTTTATTTGTAAGGTTTTGTTTTGATAAAGGATTTAACAGATACTTTTCTTCCATGCTTTAGTCTACCTCCATTCTATAAATCCTCAATTACTGCTACTTGACGATAGAAGGAAAGTAGAAATGTAGCATCTCTGCTCAACATCTCTGAGTGCTTTCACATCTGTGGCTTGTTGTCTCTTCCCAATATCCTTGTGAGGTCAAAGGACTTGGAGCCAAACTAGACATTGACGCTGGGCCTCCTAGCCTCTTCACTGACATTTAATGTCTCCAGGTGAGCAAAACATACCTGAGAGAGAAAAGCTGATCAACCTCCGGCTTCCCTGATCTTGGACAGTCTCATCGGTGCCAATGCTTTTAAAAGTCTGTAAGAAGAAGGAAAATGGGAGACAAGCAAAGCAAGTGTTGAAATTGTTGCTCACACTGACATAAGCACACTTAATCACAGTAAATTTCTCCAGCTACAGTCAACTAAGCCAGCAGCAATGGGGTTCATTAGGCAACTATTGATGAAAATAAACTCCTAGCAATCTTTCTCAGCAATAGAGAATTTGCTAAGGGGGGTGGGGTACTTTTCAAAGAAATGAAATCAACAAACCCAATTACTATAATATTATTAGCCCTTTGTAGCTGCTAATATAAACAATGTTTTTCACATTCAATTTGTCAGAACTAAGCATTTATTAAGGCAGGGCTTTAGACATTAGAAGGATAGGATGATACATGTTTACTGTTGTAATTGCATGTCTTCATTTTGCAAAGTATAGTGTGAAACAGATTTATCTGCACTTCTTGTGATAACAAAAATCCCTGTATTGTTATCTAGGGATTTCCGTAAAACATTTTGTCATGGAGAATCCTGAGCATGCTATTAAGAAGCTACTCAGAGGTTTTTCTTATTTGTTATTTTGGGAAATTTCCAAACATAGTTGCTACATGGATTTTCTATACTCTAGCATGCATTTGCAGACTAGGCTGCTGTAATATTTTACTTTCTGTCATTGCTCAATATATGCGTTAATGGATTAACTAAAACAGGTAGTGTCCTTGCTTCTACTTTCTTTAAAAACAACACTAGCTGTTGGCAAGTTGATTCTGAATCATGGTGAGCCCATGATTAGAACTGTACTCCCTAGGGTTTCCGTGGTTGGCTTTCTTGGAATTAGGTTGCTCGGCATTTCTTGGGAGGCACCTCTGGGTGGACTTGAGCCTTCAACCTAACCGTTAGAAGCTGGGCACATTAACTGTTTGTATTACTCAGGGAGTCTGCTAGTCTCTTATAAGAAGGTTTCACTTAGGTAAGTTTCTGAGAGTTGTGATTGGATAGCTCCACAAACCAGTCTCATAGGAAACTGGCAATAAACACTGGGCATCACCAGAACACACAGCTTCAGCCCAAGGGAAGTAAAACGTGATCGTTAGAACACCTCTTCAATACTAGGCAGATGTACTGGGTGGACCTGCAGCTTGTGGGCAAATCTCTGTCCACCCTAAGTCTGTGTCTGCAGTGCCAGCACAGGGATACTGGGATGCTCAGCAGAGTGAAGAGCATGGTGGCATCTGGAATGGTGCTGAGCATTATGGGAGATCAGAGTCCATGAAATTCCGCCACAGGTCTCTGTCTTACAGTCTTATTTCCTAATAAAGTATCGATGTCAGGTGCGGTCACGATGAATCCGTCCCTTTCATGTCTCATTTGTGTTTCATTTTAAAGTTTATTAGCTGCCACAGAGACTGAAAATCAACAGATCGCTCAGAAATTACATCCTCAGCCTGAACCATGCTCCTAAATCTGGTATGGCCAATCGGCAAGGATATCTTTGGGGCTTCAAAATTCCTTAGTACTAAGGTCTTTTCTTATATTTCAACCCTTTGTCTGAACAAAGGCCAGAACGAATTGCAGTAGGCCAACCATAGACCCCATAAAGTTTGTATTTGCATGCTTTTGTTGTAGTTAACTGCCATTGAGTCAGGTCCCACTCAAAGCAACCTTGTATAGAGTTTCTGAGGAGTGACTGGTGGGTTTGAACCACCAACCTTGAGGATAGAAGTCTAGTGCTTATCCTACAGTGCCACACCAAGACTCCTGTACTTGCATAGATCAGACAATTACAATTGGCTGTTGAAGTCTCTTAATCCTAATTCTAGTTTTAAAATGTTAACATCTAATGTGTTCTTTTTAGTTCCTTGAGACCACCACAAAAAGTGATAATTTGAATAGAACCGCAGGAATCTAAATAGGGTGCATTCCACTTATAATTTTAAGAGATGTAGGATTAAACTGCATATTACAGACAATACAAAAATCAGCTTGAACATGCAACTATAACAAAGATGGTACATTTGTTCCTTCCTATTTAAAGCATGCATGTATTGGTTCTTCACATTTCAATATTCCTTGGCTGGCTATTTAGAGTATTTACAAAGAAGGTTTTTCACCTTGATTGTATCTAAATCAGCCTGATAGGCAAAAAAGTAGATGCTTTTCACAAGTTACCAAACTCAGAGGAGAAACACATATCAATTTGTTGCTGCTGACCCTGATTCACGGTGACCCCATGCACGATGGGTCCCAATGAAGCCTGTTTCCATGCCATCTCCACAATAGGTGGCAGATCAGACACAGATTAGATGGTCATGATCCAGAGGTGGCTTCACTGGCTAATTTTTGGAAATTAGATCATCACGCCTTTCTTCCTAGTTCATCTTCATCTGGAAGCTCTACTGAAATGTGTCCAATATCCCAACAATATACTGACTGCCAATGACAGGCAGCTGGGGGCTGCACACTGATGAGGATTTCAACCTGTGGCTCCTCCATGGAAGGTGAGAATTGTTCCACTGAGTCATCCATTTCTCTCACATCATTTAAAGCTCTATAAAATTCTCCTGAAATGTGTGTCTTTTCACTAAGTTATTGGCAAAGTCATCTAAGTACCAGACTGATTCTATAAAAGCGAAAGCAACCATCGCCATGATGAATATTTTCCAGGAAATAAAACTGTCTCCTCCAGTCCTGGGAGGGTTGTATATATACCCTGACTTAATGTTTGAGAGGAGTTGCAGGGGCATGCTTCAGGATGAGAAGTCTGGGGTACTCACACAGAGACCCTCCAGGATCTATTTTATTTTTGACAATTCAGTCTATTTTATTTTGCTGTTGTTGAGACTGGGCATTGCAGAACACACACCAATTCAACAATTGATTCAATTCTGTAAATTATGCAACCATCTCACCCCCTATTCTGAATTATTCCTCTACCGTTAGCATAAATTCACTCCCCCCAAAGGTTTTTTTTTTTTTAATCTAATCTTTTCAGTTGCAGTTGTCACTTTGATTTCATAAGTTGTTAAGTGCCATCGAGTCATTTCCGACTCATAGTGACCCTATATAGGGTTTCCGAGTAGCAGCTGTTGAGTTTGAACTTTTGACCTTGTGGTTCAAACCAACTTGCAGTCCAGTGCTTATCCTATTGCGCCACACCAGTCACCATATGATTTTATATTAATAATTCTTAAAAGAGCATTATTCTTAAGCAGACATCCTTTACTAGTTAAGCTAAATAATTCATTAGTTTTAAGGTGATTTCGGGGGATAGATTTATTCTAAGGTTTTATGATTATGTCAGGGCAATCATTTCAGAAGTCTATCCAGCCTCCTTGGTCTGGTGCTGTGCCATCTGCACGATCATCAGTAGGGTTGAAGCCATGATTGAAGTTCTTGTGTTGCTCCATCTCACTGTGATATTTCCTCTCTTCTGCTTACTCTCTGCTTTACCAAAAATGATGTCTTCTGTTTTCAGTGACTGGTCTTGTATTCAAATTAAAAGTGAGCCAAATTCTTGCCAATTTGTTCTCAAGAGAGTTCCCATTGCATTGCTTCTGAGACTGATCTGTTCATTCTTCTGGCAGTCCACAGTACATGCAATATTCATGAACAATAACAGCAGTAGGATGGGTAAACAGTGTTTGCCCAGCATTAACGGTACTTGTCCTCGTGTATCAATGGTGATGGTGGTGGTGATATGCCTTGGAGTCGGTTCCAACTCATAATGACCCTACATATGGTTTCTGAGGTTGTAAACCTTAATGGGAGCAGAAAGCCTCATCTTTCTCCCATGGAACAGCTAGTAGTTTTGAACTGCTGACCTTGAGGTTAGCAGCCTGACTCCTAACCACTTCAGTACCAGAGCTACTTATCAATAGTCCTCAAAATTTTTTGGCAAAGCTATTTTTATTTTGAAAACAAACATGGAAAGATTTAAAGTTGAATGTAAAATATGCATGCATTTTGAAGGTAAAAGAAAAGATTTAAAAACAACAACAACAACAATCCTTTGAATGGGGAAGGCAGCTCCAAACTGCTTCCCCAAATGACCACGACCCGGGTTTATTCTCTGTGGTTAATAGTTGGAGAAGCTCCTTGTAGGCACTGAAAGCAATTCAAATGAGCATATTCCTATGTAATGCTCAAGTCTGATGTGAAAACTCCATTTATAGTATCACAATTATTCTCAACTAACTGCACTGGTATAGTGCTGCAGGATAAACATTGGACTTATCCTACAAGGTCAGCTGTTCAAAGCCACCAGTCACTCTCAGAAACCCTATACAGGGTCACTATGAGTCAGTTCTCACCAGAACAACAGAAACAACTGCAGAATAGCTTCTTTCCCCTGACTGATGACAGGGTTTGTGCTTAGTTACAGAACAATTAAATTAATAGTGATGGCAGAGATTAAACTATTGACTTCCTTGAACCTTTATATATTCACCAGACACAAATAATTCTCATATACTTATAAATGAAAAATGCAGCACTCCATGACTGATAATGAGAATATAAAAATTAGATGCAAAGTAGTATTCCATTATCTAGTAAGAACATTATCTAGGCCACTGACTATCAGCAGTCAGAAGCACAGAATTATCAGCTTCACTTTAGGTCATCAATAAGTGGCTTTCAGAAAAGGCATTCTTTTTGCCTTCAAGATTTTAACAAACAAAAAAACATTATACTAGAGTCAATTTCAGCTCATAGTAATTGTGTGAGTTAGAGTATGCTAGAAATTGACTTGTGTCTGCCCCCAAATATGTGTCTACGTGACTGTTCCATGATTCTTGGTTGTTGTTGTTGTTGGGTGCCAATCAAGTTGGTACCGACCCATAGCGACCTTACGCACAGCAGAACAAAACAGTGCCCGATTCTAGGCCAACCTCCCTACTGTTGCCATACTTGAGTCCATCGATGCTGCCACTTGGCCAATCCATCTCGTTGGAGGTCTTCCTCTTTTTCTCTGACCCTCC